GTAGTCGCGCTAAAGTTGTTCTCGTAGCTGGTTATCAGATGTAAATGTTGTGTCATGTTGCACTGTATCACCTCTTGCTTTGTGGCTGCACTCAGTTATATACGTTAGCACTATGTTTGACACCTATTATGTAATGCTGTAGCACTTCCTTTGTTGTTCACACTTTTAATTAATTATGCTGTTATAAAATGGTCTAAGTTGTTGTACACAGTACCCTCAGTTCCGATACTATTCACTGATGAGCGGAACACGAAAATCGATTTTGAATAACATAAAAATCCTTAAAAAAATTCCATGAACTCGTTGTTGTCTGGCCATGTCTGCATCGATTATACTCCTAATTGCACTAATAAATAATACTTTGTTATAATTATTATTACAACACCAACAAAAATCAGAAGCACTGGTATCAGTTCACACTGTGTCCAGCAGTCTCTAGCCACGGTCCCTGTTCACACTTGGACGTCTTTCACGGATGAATATTGCTTCACGTACACGAACGATTTGCAAAGGACGACTGTGTGCTGCATTGGTGATTGTTGTAGATATCATAGCTTGTTGTGAGAAGGCGATTGAGATCAGAACTCTGCCCACAACAAAGCTATGACTAGAACACAACAGAATACAATTCACGGTGGCATGCTGAATGGTTAGAACACAACAGAATACAATTCACAGTGGCATGGTGAATGACTAGAACACAATAGAATACAATTCACGGTGGCATGGTGAATGATTAGAACACAGCAGGATACAATTCACGGTGGCATGGTGAATGACTAGAACACAACAGAATACAATTCACGGTGGCATGGTGAATGACTAGAACACAACAGAATACAATTTACGGTGGCATGGTGAATGACTAGAACACAACAGAATACAATTCACGGTGGCATGGTGAATGACTAGAACACAATAGAATACAATTCACGGTGGCATGGTGAATGATTAGAACACAACAGAATACAATTCACGGTGGCATGGTGAATGACTAGAACACAACAGAATACAATTCACGGTGGCATGCTGAATGGTTAGAACACAACAGAATACAATTCACAGTGGCATGGTGAATGACTAGAACACAATAGAATACAATTCACGGTGGCATGGTGAATGATTAGAACACAGCAGGATACAATTCACGGTGGCATGGTGAATGACTAGAACACAACAGAATACAATTCACGGTGGCATGGTGAATGACTAGAACACAACAGAATACAATTTTTATTTTTATTTATTTATTTTATTTATTTCTGCACCTCGTGGCATGTCAAGACAGCCAATTGAATTGAGGAGAGGGTGTGACCAACCACGGAAGAAGAGAAAAAAAGAAAATTAAGAGCACGTACACAAAGTGGGAAGGGATTAGCACAAAGCAATGGGATGCTCAGCGAGCTATGCAGCGGAAGTGGTGACTGTGACTTTGTTTACTGGGAGATACTGAAGTGCTGTCTGACGAGGGTACGGAATTTGGGCATATCTGGAGCTTGTCTAACACTGGGAGGCAGTTGGAGCCACGTGGAGTAGGAGGAAAAGAAAGGGGAATTTACGAATAGGGTAGACCTAGCTAGGGGGAGACGAACGCAGCTTCGGGTGGTGCCACCTGAATTGAACCAATTAAGGGACTGTAAATGAGCAGGGTGCTGGTCAAGGAAAATTGAATGCGCCAGGGTGCACTTGGAAGCATCAAGGTAATGTTGCAGAGTGGTAGTGGATGCAGCAGCATACAAGTCTAGATTTGAGGTATAACGATCAGTACGGAATATGATTCGCAGTATACGGCGATGGAGAACTTCTAATTTACCTATGTGGGTTTTGTTAATGGTGGACCAGGCAGGGAAGCCGTACGTGAAGAGGGGAAGAATGTATGATTTATAAAAATTAATCCGGCAATTTTTGGGCAAATGGGACAAGTGACTTGACATTATGCCGACAGATCGGCATACTTTGGACGACACATGATCAGCATGGTGAGA